GCCTGATTTGTTTATATCTTTAACTTGGTTGTTATATGCTTCATTAGACATTTTGTTTTTTATCATCTGAAAGGCATTATTTTTAGTTCTGTAACTTATTTTCAAATTATAATTTTGGAAGGTTTTTCTTGTTGCTTTGTTTAAGGTTGTACTATGGGGTATGCAAATAAATTCTTTTCTATTGTTTTCTTCAATCGATCTTTGTGTTTCAAATTTCTTCTTAATTTTCTTTCGAATCATTTTTTCAATTATAGAAGATTTGTACCCATTTTTCAAGGCTAAATATAGGATGATGTTTTTCTCTTTTTCAAAATCTTTGCTTGACATTGGTATATTTACTAATCGATGTGTCATTGAATGAAAAGTTGACAATTTGTGCTGCCACGGGTGATTTGAATTTGATGGTATGATTATGTCTGTTGTAGATGGTTTTCGGTATATTTTAAACTTATGCATGTGTCTTTCTTTCCAAATTGTTATGTCTAGAAAGTTGATTTGAGAATTTTGTATTTCTTTAGAGAATTTAATTTGCGATGAAAGAGAATTTATGTGTTTTGTAGTTCTTCTGCTTTAATTTGAGTGCCTTCAAATAGGCAAAGAATGTCATCAACATATCGGTACCAGTACAATATTTTTGATTTGTAAGGATTTGTTTCGTTTAAAATCTTGGTTGTTTCTAGATTGTTCATGTAAATATCTGCTAAAAGTCCAGAGAGGGGAGAGCCCATGGGTAAACCGTCTTCTTGTATGTAAAATGAATTGTTGTATTGAAAATAATTTTGGTTTAGTGTAACTTTGTTAGTTTGATTACGTCATTAATTTGAGGTCTTGTTAGTGTTCCATAGTCGATTAATTGTTGTTCGAGTATCTCAATGGAAATTAAATTCTCTAAAGAAACACAAAATTCACAAATCAACTTTCTAGACATAACAATTTCGAAAGAAAGACACATGCATAAGTTTAAAATATACCGAAAACCATCTACAATAGACATAATCATACCATCAAATTCAAATCACCCGTGGCAGCACAAATTGTCAACTTTTCATTCAATGACACATCGATTAGTAAATATACCAATGTCAAGCAAAGATTTTGAAAAAGAGAAAAACATCATCCTATATTTAGCCTTGAAAAATGGGTACAAATCTATAATTGAAAAAATGATTCGAAAGAAAATTAAGAAGAAATTTGAAACACAAAGATCGATTGAAGAAAACAATAGAAAAGAATTTATTTGCATACCCCATAGTACAACCTTAAACAAAGCAACAAGAAAAACCTTCCAAAATTATAATTTGAAAATAAGTTACAGAACTAAAAATAATGCCTTTCAGATGATAAAAAACAAAATGTCTAATGAAGCATATAACAACCAAGTTAAAGATATAAACAAATCAGGCATTTATCAAATTATATTTTCAGACTGTAATAAATCCTACATTGGCCAAACAAGTCGTAGCTTTAAAAAAAGGTTCCAAGAACATATACAAGCGTTAAAATCAGGTAACAAAACGACAATGAAATCAAATTTTGCAGAGCACCTTATCGAAACTCGACATGAATACAAAAATATAAATGAAAATTTAGAAATTTTAGAATATGAAAGAAATAAAACAAAATTAAATGTCAAGGAAGATTTTCATATATACACAAATTACAAAAGATTTCCTCAAAATTTACTGAACACCATGAACATCGACAAAACAAATCCGATATTCGAAAAAATCCTACAATTGCAATAAAACAGAAATATTATATAATATACGCAAAATTAAACAAAGAATAGATCAAGATCCTCCAAGTTTTAAGTTAGCTTAACATATGACTATATTTATTCTTTTCATTATTCTGTTATTGTATTAATTTGTAAAAAAACATGACTATGACCTAAGTGTCGAAACATGTCGTTTCTTAATTAAAATGAATTTGAAAGGGTACTTAATGTTGTTATAATGTTTCCAATTATTAATATATATATATATATATATATATATATATATATATATATGAATTTGAACGGATGGTGTTTTTGGCCTCTAGGGACCTCAAAACGAAAAAAAAAATCGGTCCCGGGTCCAGGTCTTACCATGAGTACTACGATAATAGCTTATTCCCTATAAATGGGAAATTCGCTAAAATGTAAAAAAGTAAATCAGTCACTGGTCTGAGTCTTTCCACGAGATAGCACATTCGCTAAATAGAAAATCCGCAAAAAACATGGCTCAAATGAAATATGTTTAGAAGTATATGGTTTTACAATTAAAACCTGATATACATAAGCCCCCATATACAATGGTAATTGGAAATAAAAAAAAAGGATTGACACTTTAACTCTAGTTTGTTTTGAATAAAGTATTACACTGCTCATTTGAAATTTTAGTACATGGTTTTAAAATTAAACCTGATATACATAAGCCCCATATACAATGGTAATTGGAAATTTAAGATAAGAATTGACACTTTAACACCAGTTTGTTTTGAAGTATTACTGCTCATTTGAAATTTTAACAGCTAAAACTCTGTTTAGTTAAGGACCTATACGATTTCATGGTTAAATTACAGTGAGATGATAGTATTCAAGCAATTGAGATGAATAATTCGTTTTTTTATTAGGTCATTCTAATATGTATAATGAGGGGACTTTTATGAAATTGCTCATTATCAAAGGGTTCAAAATTTGTTTCCGAAGCATAATGCAACAGGTATCCATATGCCTTTCAAAGGTTGCCATAATTTACCAAATCAAATTAAAAAATAAAAGAAACCATGATATGAGATTTAATATAATCGGAACATTTGTTCCAACCAATCAGGAATACAATGGGAAGCATTTCTATCATTACTAATTTACTAATTAAAATATGTCTATTGTAGATCTTATAATTAGTATAATTTACGTAATCCGTTCAAATTCATATTACTGATGGCATTTTGGTATAGACGTGGAATCCTTTATTTAATTGATCAAGTTCACGAACCTGTATAATGGGGAACCAGCAAGAATTTGTGTTTAAACTAAATTATTGATTTTTTTATCTGAAATTTTATACTAGCTGTTGATACACAAAATAAATTTTCATTGTGCTTAAATAATTGATATGGATGTTTGAAAAAAAAATAATACAGGGAGTCAAGTAGATTAGTTAAGTGTTGATCAAAACCTAAATACAAATATATTCTGCCTCTTTGCCTCTCACGAGCGTAGAGAGAGTACATATTTTGTAATTTTAATATCGTTATAATTGTCATTCCACCATTTTAAAAATAAACCATTTGGATTACAAAGGTTAAGAAAAAATTATAATAATATATAACTATAATTTTTATACATTGTGTTTAGATAGTATTAGGGAAAAGCCGGTTAAAATAGGAAGGACACATCTTAAAAAAGGTGTAAGAGGTAAGTAGTGTTTACGTTATACTGTATTATTAATAAGTTATATAGCATTCTTAAATTGCAAACTCCTTGAAGGGTAGGTGAAGTACTTTCATCCATTTATGATACAACTAGGCTATCCTATATTATAAGAATAAATTATTTTGTTTAAATCTTCACGATATACAAAGTCAGCAATTATTTAAAACAGTCGCAACTCAGTGCAGCATGGCAGCTTTCCAGATAAGTAAACTAGACCAAGATGCTTTAAAGATGGATTGGTCGTGTAAGAGACTTTGGAACAAGATAGTTCTGCAGATTTCGTCTGCCGTCTCTTATTTTCTACAATTTCTGTGAATGATCGTTGTTAGTCATTAAATAAAGCCATAAGCTTGAGGAGATAGTCTCTGCATAGCTATCAAGAGCCATTCATTTCTATAATACAAATATCAAATTAAAAATACATTGCTAATTTTTTACATTTACTGGTACGTATTGTAAATACATGTAAATACATTCCATGTATTTATTTTAAGAACTGTTATTGATTTTCAGTTTTACTTACAAAAAGCTTTATTACAACAGAAACTAACTACAATAATACTTATTGTTTTTTTCTACATAAAGGTAATTCAGTGTCAATTATATTTTCTGTTTTAGCGAATTTCCCTATAGGGAAGTAGCTATTACCGTAGGTGGCACGGTAAGGCCTAGACCCGGGACCGATTTACTTTTTCATTTTGATGTCCCCAGAGGCCAAAAACACTATTCGTTCAAATTTTTGCATATGTATATTTAAATATATATAGACTTATATATATATATATACGTCCGTGAACGCGATAACTTGAGTAATTTTTGTCCGATTTTGATGAAATTTGGTTTAAAGGTGTAAAGCGGGATAAACTTGAATGAGTTCGCGAACCAGCACGATCGGACCATGGGAACGGGGCTTTACGGGGGGTTTTATGGGGTAAAAATTGGTTTTTCTCACTTTTGACCCTCAAAACACAAAATTTTCCAATTTCTCTTTAGACCCTTTTAAAGAGCTTAAAAAACAAATAATTTAGTATATAAAAGTATTTTTGTTCGATTATTAGTAACGGAGAACATTAAAAAATTGTAAATTTAAAATTCCCATGTTATTCTTATGGAGAATATTGTCAAATGTTGTAGTTTGCTTGTTTATGAATATATTTTGATCAAACTTGGCAAATTTATTTATTTTGTACTAAGCTATCAATATTTTACTCAAAAACACACTTTATTAGTTTCCTTGTAGCAGCAAACCTAGGTACTCGTTAAACCTAATGTTATTAAAATATATTTAACTGAAAATCAATTCAGACAAATGGAAATTCGCTTAGTCGGCAGGTTTGCTGCAGCGGGGGTATTTTTTCATCGGAATAATATGTTTGGAAGTTTTATATAAACCACAAGTGATAAGGACCAATAAAATCAGAACAGGATAATTATATGAAACTAATATTTTATTATAAAATATAAAACGCTATCAATAAAAGAGTTTTATTATTTAAACCCAAAAACATTTATTTATTGATTAGTTTTTATTACATATCATTTAGTAATAATTTTATCACAATCTTAAAAAAATACTTTAGTGTTCTTCTATAAAATAAAGTGGTTACGTAAAAACTATCACAGCATAAATCACCGGCACTCTGCAGCGCTGCTGGGGGTAGACACATCTCTAGTGCTTCCCCTTACTATCTAGAAATAAAAATAAAACACATTCAAACATATTGTATGTCAAGTCATTGAGAACAACCTTAAATACAATAAGGGAAAACGGCACTGAATCAGGAATAAATTAGTTTATGTAAATTATAATTTAAATCCTAGGTTTACTATGTTATGCAGTTTACTTCTGCATCCTGCAAGAACATCTTTTAACTCAAAACAAAGACTTTTATAAACAAAAATATAATTTTTATACTAAAATTAAATCATGGATACATTTACGATAGGGACTTAAAACCAGTAATATGATTTGATAATATTGTACCAATAAACCTAACCATATTGTTAAACAAACTTTCACATTTATAATATTAGTAAGATAATCAGTGTTTTAATGTCATATTCATCGCATAACATCGGTAAACTTGCACACGAATAACATTGTTAAGGTATAAAATCAAAATATATTTAATATTTTTTTCATTTGATCCTGATAATACTTAAGGTATGGTTAGTAAGAAAGGCACAAAGAGGTATTTGGCAGCTTACCGGTGAGCAAAGCCATTAGCCTAGTTAAAAAAAAATATATATATATATATACATTATATACCTGGGTAAAAAGTTACACTACGTTAGTTCAACTATCCTTCTGTTGGTTAACTTGAATAAACAAAACAAGCCTTCAAAAGTGTATAAAATTTATTGAATTTAAAATTATAGTGCGTCGAATGCGATCACTCAAACTTATGTTAATTTTCACGTTAGTAACTTAAAAGGTCACACTATTTAAAAAAATTACAAATTTTACAAAAGTACACATGTCCCATATACAGCTGTATATTCTCTATATAGGGTTTTAAACGGGCATTCGCATGTTCTAGGTCAGTTCTGTACTATTATTCTATAAGGAAACTGTTGTGAGTGTCATCCATTCATAGAGGCCATGACAATCTACTGTGTTTCATTCCAATGTTTGTATATGCATTGCATAACAAATATTGTACGATATTAGTTTTGGTGTACATCTTCTATTTTAAGATGTACAGGAGTTTACTGCTGGCCTATGTTATACTGCAATAGTTTCTTAACTCAAACTATGACAAAACATACAAAACCTAACAAGATATTGTGATTTTCTTACCTTTTCCTAGCAAAACCACTCTACAACGAACTGGGCAAGTTATCCCTGTCTCGCTGAATAGGAATGTCATCTAAAACAAACATAGAATGTAGTTTTCACAGCTCGCATAAGGTTTAAGCCATTGAATTATGATTATGTAGCTGTGTCAATAAATAGTTAATGAACTATTTATTGACACATGTCAATTAGCCCCTTCACTTAATGCGAACTTAGATGGAAATTTGGTTTAAAAAAATTGGTCATAATTTTTCTACTAATGAGTAAATGGTTTCAAAAAATAAATACTAAATAATTAATTATATTAAAGCATAAGAGGCGGACAATTATTTTTATATTTCACTGCCCAAGTTTGTTTCCAGTATAAAAAAAACCAATAAAATCGATATGCGCGGGAAGTAAATCAAGAAATTTTATTTTATATAAACTAACTAAATATAATTTGATTTCATACCTGAAAAATATCATTCGAGTATCAAATTCACCCAAACTCATTTAAAAATATAAAATAATCTACTTCAATCAATCAATCAATCAATCAATCAAATATTCTTTATTCACAAAGTTTAGACAATATGTCATGAATAGCGTCATTAAACTAACATAAACAAAAAATTATAAACTAAATAATTAAAATCATTCACAAAGGATTTATATAGTAAAACTAAAAATGAGTGCTATAACTTTAAAAAATCACAAAATCTTAGAAGGTTACATTAGAGTAAAACTAGGTAGTAACTGGAATTCAAATGGTCGTTTCGAGATTACAATTTCAAAATTCTTTGATGGAATAAAATGGGTTTCTTATCAACAAGTCTTTTAGTAGGCTTTTGAATCGGTTTGTATTATTTTCTTTTTTAAGTGAAATCGGTAATTTTTGAAGAAATTTTAAGCCTGCATATGAAGGTTTTTTGGTATAGAATTCTAAATTATGTCTAGGAAGGTTAATTTGAAAGCGTGTGTTATATTTACTTGCAGTGGATAATAAATGAAATTGTTTTGCATAAATTATTGTCTCATATATATACAAACTGTAAACTGTTAATTCACCCAATTCAGGAAAGATATTTTTAACTGAATCTGTTCTTTTTAATTTCATGATCACTCTAATAGCTTTTTCTTGTTTTATAAGTATTTTATCCAAATTTGCCTTAGTTGTTGCTCCGTAAATGGCGATTCCATAGGATATGTGGGAATGAATTAGAGAATAATAGATTATCCTAAGAGTTTCCAAGTTGCAAACCTTGGACATCAGCCGCAAGGCATGAATGCCAGATGATAATTTATTTACTACATAGTTTATGTGATTATCCCAAGATAGATTTTCATCAATAACCAGTCCCACAAACTTTGTTTGGTTTACCTGGTCAATTTTGTCTGTTTTTATAAAAATATTAGGTTCAAATGCTGTTATTTTGGTTTACCTGGTCAATTTTGTCTGTTTTTATAAAAATATTAGGTTCAAATGCTGTTATTGATTGTTTAGTTGAAAAGGATATTAGATTTGATTTTGTTGTGCTGATAAGCAGATTTCTTTCATCCAAAAACTTTTTTATAGAGAGGAGACTCCTGTTTGAGGATTTTTCAATAGTTAAATTGGATTTTCCTGAAAACAAAACATTAGAGTCATCAGCATACAGACACATAGATCCATCACTGACCGGGATCATCTCTGGTAACCCCTTAATGTAACAGAGGAACAAAAGAGGCCCCAAGATCGATCCCTGGGGTACTCCATATCGTAGTGTCTGCCGCTGAGATCTAAAGTTTTCAATATATTTAGTATTTCTTTTCTCTAATTTAGTTTAATTTTTATATTAAAATTATTCTCTTCCTTATAAAGTTTTATAAAAAACAATGCCTTTTGGGCAAATGAAGCTCAACAAAACTTTTTTCATCGTAGTATTTGTAAGAACTTTATTTATATGACTATAAACTAAGAGAGTATTTAAAAACATTACACTTTTTTACTCATGCATTTCCAAAATAAATAGCCATAAGAAAATTCGTCAAACAGATCTTCTTTTAATGAAACGTAAACTAGGTTTAGTATAAGGTAATAAAGGAATAATTTTTGAATTATTTGCTGGAAAATATTATTTTGCCTCACCTTTCTAACTCATGTATCCGTCCGTGGAAAGACCATTTTAACTCATTACGAGTCCTCAACCTAAGTGGTGCGTTGAGAGGCCTCGTGAAGCTCTATAAAAACATGTCAAAGTTATTTATAAGATAAATTTGAACGCTCAGTTTTTACTCTCTGGAACAATAATGTTTTACGTAAAATTCACTTGCCACTAAAATTCATTATAGGTTATTTACGTAGCTACGTCAAATTGATTTAGTTTGTGTTTTAAAATATAATCTCATTACAGAGTTACCATATAAAGTAATTTGACCTAAGAAGTCTTTTCTATCAATACAATAATTCAGAAACTCATAATTAATTTGGAAATACAGGTAAAAATAGCAAAAAAATAATTCTTAAAAAAACAATACCCAAATTTAAATAAAACATTGTGAATATTACCAATAACCAATAAAGTAGGATAAAATATTGATTTAATTTCAAGCCACCTTGATTCATAAGTATCACAATACCTAATTTAGTAGTAAACATGTCATCCAAATGATTCGATATTATATTTCATTAATAGAACCAAGGGGAATAATGGAGCAAGTGCCGGAAAATTACTTACGGTAGAGTTATGAACGATACTTTATCACCAGGACTCAAAAATACACATACGGAATAACAGATCTCAGTAATATTAAAACTTTTATGTATATAAAAAAAATATCAAAATAAAATATAATCTGTCATAGTAAAGCTACATAACAACATAGAAATAAAAAGTTTGAGGTTATCTTCATTATGCAGTTATCATTGTTGGCGACGATCTATCTTTCGTTTTAATTTCTCTGGAGTTTTTTAACATCCACGTTTCTCACAGTTTTAGACCACGCTTTTTCATTGAAGATCTACTTCACATCGTATGGTATTACGGTTTTAGGTTTCTCTGATAAATATATTAATAAATACTTCGTTACTTGTACTTTGTACCAATCCGTAAACCTTATGTATACTTTTTCATATCTTTCCTGTGATTTCTCTGGTGGAAAGGGTTAGTTAGATACATTTAGCAGACGATATAAGCTAAAGGTAAAACCTTGACATTTCCGTTTATCTAAACTATGAACATGACTTCAATATATTTGAATTACTGGTACCTAGAGAAAGATTAGGTTTTAGCAAATGAAACTATCCACACACCTTATTTACATAAAGTAATGATTTTTTTTTGAGTATTACACTTTCATTTATTACAATACAGATTATCATTAAAGCCCTTTTGGGTAAATGACCACGAGGAAAGATAGTTGTTAAAGTACAATAAGGAATGTACAGTTTCTCTCACTATTTATAACATCAACTAGATATTATATTAAATGTCCATTCACTTTATTAATTTAGGGTTTTTGATAATCCGAATACTGTATAAATATAGGGTACAAATGTATAAAGCAATACACCAGCAATAACTCTGCTACAAAACTTAACAATACATTTCAAGGCGGTTATAACCGAGTGAACAATTAGTGTTGTTTCATTTAATTTACTAGCGCCATAAATGTCCATTGTTAAAATTATAAATGTTTAATCCTTGTTATAGCTGATATGTTTTTAACTACAGCCCTTCTGTTACACAACCAACGTGATTTAGTTTATTTTGTGTCACATGATTTAACCCTCATTATATTGACATAAAATCTCAGGATTTGTTAGGAAAGGTTTTATAGAAAAACTTCAAATAAACTCTTGAACCAAATCCACAACAACATTAGTTTTGTATACACCTAGTAACTCCAATATTGTTAGTAAATATTTTTTTTTAGATTTTTTTACGATTTTGACCTTTACTTCTTCTTTAAGCAATGTTTGATAAACAGTACCCTAAATTTAATGCAATGAATTTATTAACTTACACAACAATGTTTGCTTACAAGATGAATTTTAATTTTATATTAGGATAGAAATGGCATGTTTCCGGTGTACTGCATCATTCTAGAAAAAATGCCTTTAGCAAAAGTATTAACCTCGTTTGAGCTATAGCTGGTCTTATATACATTATTGACTGAACATAAATCTAGTGCATATTATATAACCGTCTTATTATTGTGTTACAATAATGATTTCTAGAGCTATCTACGCCATGGTTGATTACCCCGATTTTGTGTAATCATTCTAGTTTTTAATTTCAATCTACTAACATTTTTCATATTTTCTTTTACTGGTGATGTCTTAGTAATTGAGGTCAAATAATGAAATTATCATCAGGATAATCGCAATTTGCTGTTTCTTCTGCTCTGCTGATGTTGTTGTTTAAAATTAGTAATTTCGTCTGGACGCTAAAAGAAATGTCTGCCAAAGCAAGCTAACTTCATGGAAAATCTATTCTGTAGGCCTACTCTGGTACTACTGACATTCGTGTGTAAGTGTTTATAATAACCTGTACAAGTACATGAGGTGTGCACTAAAAAAAATGCGCGATAAGTGTGTCAATTAATTGTAATATTAGTTACTAAATTATTGAATTTAGTAAATAAAAAAATATTGAATGAACGAAATCCACCTGTTTTGAGGCAATCGATATTGGTGTATAAAGGCAAAAAATGAGCACGTAATAAATACATCAATCATTTAGGTAGCGCTTCCTGAAAGCATGTCTGCCTTAGCAGTAAATCAAAATGCCTGTTATCTAGAAAATTTAGCCTATTCTTTTATTCTTTATAATATCAATAACTTTTCAATCAGTATAAAAAGAGTATCGTTTTACCTTGCTAGACGGTGCTCTCCTTGTGTACCAGTGTCTGTGTGCCGGCGTTGCGCTGCACAGGCCCTTGGACTACTAGCTTCTGTAGAGGTGTACCACTCGGCCACACACTGACGCCCCACGCATCCGGCAGTAGCGCCTCCTACACACAAACTAGGATCAACGCTGGAAGCTTCATTTATTTGACCTTTAATTTGCCAGACAAATGGATCAACAAAGCCTGATCAACAAATTTTACAAGAGGTTGAGCCAATGTAATACGAGTTAGCGATATTAATGAATTTGACAACGCCAATACATCCCAAGACATCATTCATTATTCATTGGTCATATACATGATTGACCCAGATACTATGTTTGCTTAGCTAATACAGAATTATAGTCTGACAGTAGCTCAGTGAATAGAAGTTAAGAATTAGAGTCAAAATAGAATCTAAATACAAAACCTACAAAAAAATAAGTAAGCTTGATCATTTAACAACAAATATACATAATGATTAGAAAGAAAAGTGTTAAGAGGTTTTGCTCGTGGAAACTCAAAATGGTGTTTAAGTTAAGAACAATTTATCTTTAAAAATGAGTTGTGTAAACTACAAACGTATATTTAAATGCATTTTATATTACAAAGTGTAAATTATTGTAAAGGTTGTTGTGCTACAAGATTAGGTTTCTTCAAAAGGAAGAGTATTCTCTATCAAGAAGGTCCTGTGTATTTTAGGAAAGTTACAATGTCGTTACACTATCGCATGACTTCAATTATTTGAGAGAAGAGAATAGTTTAAACAATATAGTATTGAAACAAATGTAAATTTACCTTAGGCAGTGCTACTGTTGCACTGATCCCGGTGGCTGAGATCCACTGGGCCTCAATAATGGCCTCACCCGTGTCTGACAGCAGGGTTGTCTCTCCTTCTTTATATAACACACAATTAAGATGAGAGAGTACGCTTACACAATGAAAGGACACCGATCATTATTCCTGAGATGACCAGTAGAATTGGGTTCATGGTGGAAAGATTAAAATCTGCAGTCACCATAACACACATATTGATAAAAATAATGACATAAGGTAATTCGATAGTTCAATTTACTCTTTTAACACTCTTCATTATCCTTTACTGCACCACTACTCAATCTACACAAAACTCGTACTTTAGTACGTGGAAAAATTCGAGATACGAAAATACTATTAAGCAATAATAAAATCGTAGGACTTTCCAAATACTTAATAATTCTTTCCCATGCCATATACTAAAATCTCGCATACATTTTACCAAAGTAGTAAACAGTCCAAAAACTGACTTAATGATCAGTAACAATCGATATATACTCATTTTGGATAGTAATGACCTAAGCCCTGCCGTTTTCAGCTTACTAAAGAAGCAGGGAGCGTTGCGACTTTTAGAAGTTAAATATATTTTTTTTACAGAATGTTAATACCCTTTAGTAATTATAAAGGTTAGATGTGGTTGGACGCAGTAGTTTTATCAAACCTACTTATTATAGATTGAAGATATTATTGCCTTTGTTGTTAGTTATCAAACTATAACATTAAATGATTTCTTAGTAACTAGCATTATATTAGCCCTGTAATTTAGTAAATACTGTTCTTGATATGAGGTTAATTGTAATTGTTTAGTTGGTCGAGTTTAAGAGGCAATCACCGGTCTTGTGAGGTATGACGTCAGGGTTGCAGTCGTCCTCGTGTGTGGTGGAAGGCACGGTGATGGACAAGAGAGAGTGGGTCTTGTCCAGCTGTATCGAGCTGACCTCTGGTGACCCCTGGATGGACCGTCGCTTGACACAAACGATCGCCACCAGGACCAGTCCGACCATGAGCAACACGCCGATCACTATGCCTGAGATGACCAGTAGCAGTGGGTTCATGGTGGGCAGACTGGAATCTGCAGTCACCATCACAAATTATAGATTCATAAAAATGATGACAGAAGCAAATTTTATAGGGTGCGAGAGCGTTTGTTGTTGCTGGTTGAAGGCCTCTCCACATTGTTTATAAGATGGTTACTTAAATGAATACTGAATGGATACAGACACTTGCTGAGAAGCAAATGCGTGAATGCTGTGAATGTAATTGTTTCCTATCATAATTTCAGGAAACACTACTGTGTGGATTATCGAATCCTTAAAATGCACAGTACAGTACTTTTATCAATGCGGGATGGATCCTCTCAGGCAATACAGCCACAACAGAGAGTTTTATATCTCAAGTTTTACAAAACAGTTATATTACCAAAAAGATTTTAATTTGTGAAGACCTGACGATGCAGAATCACACCTAATCCTACGTGCAGCCGCTGGTCACAACTACCGTGTAATCAGTGAACAATATCACTTTGCTCTTTAATGAAACTTTAATATCATTATAACCATTTATTTATCTAAAAATCCCTTTTTAAATTACAACAAAGATTATGTTTATTGGTGTAAAATCTCTATTTAATAGTCATTTTATTAGGTATAATTGTTCAAATTGAAACCTTTTATAAGTAAAATTATATCGATACTTGATCAATGTTATTTTTTTCAGTACAACTAGAGCTTCGAAATTAAAACTAAAATTTTCTGTTCATATTACGTTAGTTTTCAGTTTCATTTAACAGGTTTATCAAACACAAAGAGTAGGCTACTTTTATTAGTCGATTGCCTATATTTCTACATATCAAAGAATCTCAAAATAAATATATTATGTATCCTTAGGCAGTTGTTTAAAGTCTGTTAAAAGAAAACTTGAGTTAGCCATAAAGTTGTGTCACAATTTCTTGTGTCTGGCAAAACAACATGTAATATTATTTCTCATGCAGGTTGTAAATAAGAGTTTATTGTGATAGCACTTTAATAATTCAAAACATTCAGGATCTAATTGAGTGTTTCATTGTTGGTATTAGCGTAAGCTGTTTACATGAAGCATAGCAGATTACAGTGTGCAGGAGATGGATTTGCGATAAATTATTCACTGGCTATGTTCTCTATGAGCTTAATTACTTTAACTAATTGTCACTTCAATCAGAATGTGTAATTTTTCAACATTAAATGTTTACTTTACAAAGTTCCATGGCAATATTATATTTGAAATACAAAGGAATGCCGTTTCTCAATGCACAAAACTATCCATTCTTTCATATATTGCCCTTTAAGGTCGTAATTAAATTTTAAAGGGAATTTTCCATATACCTAATGTTAAAAATATCTCAGCTGTACTTATTTGTTTGTTATTCTTTCAAATTATTACCTTATTAAAATCAGGTGCGATTATTTGTTTGTTTTACTGTATTCCGCTTTGTTTATTCTTATATATTGTTTATAACTTAACTTGGTACTTACGTATTAAACGGAGGCCACATTTTGTCAGCGCGCTGCGGCGGTTATGTTAGGTTGGGTTATCGTAAATATTATGTGTGTAGGACTTTCCTCGCTTCGTTATGAATCGAACGATACCAGACGAGTTATACTTTCTATTATGATAACCCAACCTAACATAACCGCCGCAGCGCGCTGACAAAATGTGGCCTCCGTTTAATACGTAAGTACCCTTAACTTAACAAATCATCATCATTCTTTATTGATTTTTCCCACAAGGGGTACAAAAAAAAAAAAAATACATTTCCAAAATACAATTTATGTACATGCAAAAAAAACCAAGGTTGGTAAATTAGTTTTACTAATAACTAGGTAAATAAATAATTATATAAATATTAACATGCAATAAATAATTCAATAAATAACCAATAAATATTATAAGTATTTTATTTATAACTTATAAATCAATACCGGTAGTTTTATTAATACTTATGAAGTCAAACGAGGTGAAGCCCGTGGGTAAGAGCTAGTAATGTAAAAAGAAATCATATCATAATTATTCCAAGGACCATTACTCTAACATAGTTAACGATTTCATCGTAACAAATAAGAGAAAAACTATTAACAAAGATTCTATGAAAATAAATTAAATAAAGTCAAGGTTTTTTTCGACAGGGATTCAGTTAAATTCATATAGACAATGAACCAAAACGCCTCTACTTTTAAAGCTCTTCAGAAAATCCACAAAAATGAACATCAATAAGACATCTAATTAATTATATAACTGCACTTAGCTACAAATCAGGTACAGCATTGTAACCCAAACTAAATTTACACCATGTGTTTGACAATAGTATAAGCAAAAAAATAGCCTTGATATCATCAATAAGGTATGAGACAGACATAGACATAAACGATCACTGCATTCTCCCTCCAATGCGCATGAAAGTAGAACGGTTGATGGTCTAGTAAAAAAAAATCTAAATAAAAACACGCACGACCTTCTAACTAGTTGCGACCCTTACATCCCGAACAAACCACCGTCTATACAAACCAATTAGGAAACAGTTGGTTGCTTTAAAGCCACACATTTTACTGCCCACTCATAGAACCTCAAATAAGTTAGAAAACCTACTAATTGTGATCAAAATCTTCTAATGAAAGTTAGAACCTAAAAAAAAACTGTCGTGTTCAAGTTGGTATGTGGTTATCATCAACATTATATCAGCCAATCAGGTCGGTCGGTCATTTGCAACCCGATTAAAATAACACAAAACCCAACCCTCGTTTTACCCAACAAAAACATACTTTAACCCAAAACAGAGTTAATAAAGTGTATAGGCAATCTGGCAAATACTTTTTCCCATTAGCCAGACAACAACCTTTATCATGGGTAAGAAGTGGGAGTAACGATAACTTTGTGGAAAAATCACAAAAGTTGTAATAACCTTTGAACAGTAATTAGTGTTAAAGCAATGGGGGTTGCACTATTTTGTTTAGAATTATAAGGACCATAACACATACATTTTTATCAAAACCGACTTTTTTCCAATTATCCGGTTATTTGTTATTTTGAGGGTTTTTGTGGGAAAATAACATAAGTTACAATAACTTTTGAACAGTAAATTTCACGGAAATGGGATTTGTAACATTGTGTTCGAAATTTAAATGAGTATAGCATAGTAAATTTTTATCAAAATTGATCGGGCCAATTCTTAGATAATCAGACTTTCCATTATTTTGTGGCTTTTATGGAAAAATCACCATTAAAAATCATTTAAATTCATTGTTGTAGCCCCGGAACTGTAATATATACAATATCTGGTTTTACAATACCTTTATCAGTTCCAAAACTAGTTGGAACGTAGTTGTGGCTTAGATACCACCCGTCGCAGCCGGCGAACTCAGATATGCGCGTCTGGTTTTGGAACTGATAAAGGTATTGTAAAACCAGATATTTTATTAAAAATCAAAATTTCTAAAAAATATTAAATAAAAAAAAATTTTAAATCACCTGAATATACTATGGATTAGTTTCTACATAAAAAATTTCATAAAAATCTGACAACAGGTGTAGTATGTAGATCTGTAAACATCCACAAATACACACATAAATCACTTCGAAAACAACTTTTTTGGGTTCAGGGAAACCCAAAACGGATGCATCCACTCAAAACTCAAACTCGAAAATGTTGACGAAAACAATACCTTCTACAATTCTACATGTATACGAGATGTTATAGGATGTTATAGGAGATAGTAAAAATTATCACATTGAATGGGAAACTAGGACGACAATGTTTAAATTATCAGTAATAAAAAAACTGATTTTTTTAGTAATAAATGAGTTTACATCTTCAAATCTTTAAAAGAAGACGCCGACCACGTATTAAACTATCAAAACAACCAAAACTCCGATTTAATTTGAAATAAAATAACCGGAAATCAAGTACAGTAGCTGAGGATCTAGACACTACCGAGGACAAAGGGCAGGTAGACCACATGAACGTTCTAGCTACATGTAGTTGTGGCTTAGATACCACCCGTCGCAGCCGGTGAACTCAGATATGCGCGTCTTTGTTTTGGAAATACCGATCATTAAATGTTTATTAATTTGTACCCTTGTTTGTGTCATGTGAAATACACGTAACTTTAACCACGACGTCTAATGGCCTGATGCGTATTTTCCTGTATTTTGCGAAGCCTGATGATAAAACAACTATGTGCTGAAAACTAGTTCACAGAAAATCTACTTTATTTGAACTAGATTACTGAAGGTACTTAAATCATCAATAGTTCCTATCCAGTTCATAGGCATTGTTAATGTTACACTACTTTAAATCTTTATGTGTCAACTTACCAAGTTAAATAGTACATCAAATTGTATGTATGATTTTAACCACATTTTAAATAACATTATCCAGGTATAAAAACCTAAGCTTTTTTCTCCGTTAAGGCATAACATTTTGCATGTTGGTCAAGCTATTAGTAAAGGCAAGAGATTTATATGATCCGATTACTGTCTAACATGCTGAAGGAGAAATAAGAACCCTAATAAGTCTCCTTATCTCACGTAAACAATGTCACATAAAATCACTCTGTGTACGCATTGTTTTGTGGCAAAGGATTGCATTCACTTTTGGAGCTAAATCCTTGAGTAACCAAGAGATAAATAATTTTGTTTTAGTTGTGTACAAAATTTCTATCATGTTTGAAATTACCTATGCCTTTTTTAAGCCGATCTTGCAAATACCTAGCTAACAACATCATCAACATATTTCGTATCCAGTAATACAAGCACTATACGAACACCAGTACAAATAACTCGTCTGTCAAATCATTCGTAAACGACCCAGCTTGTGATCTTATTAGAAGGACTTCAACAATGTTGTGTTGTAAATAAATCTAATTTTACAAAAAAATATAATGCCCATAAACAAAACCTGTTGCACTGTTGTACTGTAGTGTATTCATTACACAGCATGACATATGCTTTGTATTTACCTGGGGTGACTCTGCGATGAGTCTGCGTATGTCCTAGAGTGGAGGTCTCAACAGAGACGGAGTGACTGCTGCGGCCCTTGACATTGCTGGAGTACACAAATACAGTGTACGTGGCTCCGGGCTCCAGGCTGGTCAACGTGAACTCTGGCAGAGACCTGCTAGTGGTGTTGCTGACCACCTTGCCAGCCCGCCACAGCTCGGCGGTGAACTGTTGTGGCAATCCACCGTCAAACCCGGGCCAGCAGTTCACGTGCACCCAGTTCTGGCTGCGATTGGCCACACTGCAGTTGTATGGTGGGTCAGGTACTCCTGGAAAAACATAAGCTATAATAATTAATATAAGTGCCCAAACCTGTTCCAAATGGTGACACTCTATTGCGAATAATACCAAAGCTATCTGTTTATGTCCAAATAGACCAAGGCACGATAGGTAACACCTAGGTTGTATGGTTAACCGGAAGAACTACCTGGAAAGACGATTGCTAGCTAAATTATCAACCTAAGATTATCAACAAATGGTGACCAACTATTGCGGCAGTCCTACATAAAAGCTATGCCAGCAGTTTACGTGCACTAAGTTACGACTGCGATTGGTCATGGTGTTTTATCACTCCTAGTCGGATACTCGTGGAATCGATATTAAGCTAGAGTTAATGGTTTCTTAAGTATAAAATAGGTATTTTAAGACATGATCACAGGTTTTAAAAGCGTGCCTTTCACCATTGTTCAGCACTGTAATTGTAAGGTCGTAATATGATCAGTCATTTCCAGGTAAATATTAAGAATATTGTATATAATTTATAGTAAACCACTGAAATACACCGTGGAAGCAGCATGATACTTACCTGCTGGTACTATATGGAAGACACAAGGCACTATTTGGGAGCCGACGTCATTACGCGCCCAGCAGAGCAGCGTGCCGAAGTCGGTCTCAGAGAAGGCGGTGTAGCGAGCTTCGCTGCGATCACCACCACCTCCGCTGGACACCGAGCCCTCAACAGGCTTCTCGTGGATGACTGAGTTGTTGAACAGCCAGTGGAACTCCACAGCTGACGGGTTGGCGTCCACCTCGCACGACACTACCAACTCCTCCAGCCGAGCTGCGCCATACACCCTCTGTTGGCTCTCTTTGCACTTGGGCTCGACTGTGGATAAAATACGTTCTATGATCATTGGTAAATTTTGCTCAAGTTATTTACCTACAATATTTTAGTAAGCGTGTATTAAGAAGCCATCCATACTAAACCATGTTTCCATTTATGTTTTCTATGTTTAATACAGATTTTTTATGCTGCTAATTTGTTGTCTGATTACGGCTTTACGGTCAGGCTTTTTTTGAGCGAGATGTATTTAAAACAGGCTTTGCTGTGTATACTTATGTATATATGTGGGAATTAAGACCAATTTTATTTTTAGGTGATTTTAATTTTTACTAAACTATAATTAAATACGCCACAGCAAACCCATAGAATAAGCAAATTCTTATTTACCTGGCTGGATTTCCACTAAAATATTATTCCGCTAAAATAGCCAGATTGATGTAACATCAAAACAACCATAGTTTCAATGAGGTTTTGGGTTTACTAATGTAGGAAACCGAATAAGGTGCGTTTTTGTTATTGAAATGTTGATTGCATTGTAAATAAACAAATTTCCCATATTTGATCAAATATATTCATATACAAGCTAATTTTAGCAGTTTATTTATTTTCATTAAGAATGATGGAAATTTTAAATTAACGGTTTTTTCTTTGTAGCCTAAGGATCTATTTTCTCTGTATGCCGACTGGAGGCATACAGCAGCGCTTCAGTCAGCAAAATTATTTGTTTTCTTTAGCTCCGCAATATAGTTTAGAAAGGTTTTTAAGACTTAATATTTTGCTGGTTAAAATTTGAATACCTAATTTGTACAAAATAAAACTGTCCATACAACAATTGTTCATATACTCCAATCATGCTGGATATAGGCCTAAGATATATTTTTAATTATGTATATGATTTGAAATAATCTTTGGCCTCTCGAAGCAAATCAGTCCCGTGTCTAGGTCTTATCATGAGACCTACAGTAATATGTTGTTCAAAGGTTTATTGGGCACATTTTCCATCACGATGGTAAAAAACAATACACATCGTTTCTAGCTACAGTAATAGCTTATTCTTAAACGGGAAATTAGTTAAAACTATTTTTTTACGTACGACACTTAAACAATTTGCCATTTATAGTCAGGTTGGGTAGCAGGAAAATATTTCAGTTCTGGCAGACAGGCTGCGATTTTAGGTGGTTATAGTACACAAGTTTCTGAACCTAAAACCGCCCAGACCCCAATTTTTAAGGACCTCGGTCGTCCGTAATGACGTCATCAAAATGGCAGCCGTAAGAGGATGTTGAGTCCCATGAATTGGCTATAACGACCGAATGCCTGAACCGATTTTCATGAAATTTGGCACACAAGTGCTTGAATACATTATCTCGGCATGGGTTGAAAATGGTCAAGTTTCATCAAGTCATTTCAAAATGGCGTCCATTCAAAACTAAATAAAATTTTGGGGAAAATAATTGTGAATTGTTTTATACAGGGTGAGTTTTAAATGAGTTCCCCTCCCTACTTTTTTATACATTTCTTAAGATATCAACTCCAAACCACGTCAGATAATTGTAGAGTAGCGATTACTTCATTTACTAGTTTTATTTTATCCGTTTTTTGTTATCAAGCTTTCTTGATAAAATATAACAATTATTTTGATTTAAAATGTCAATATTTCAAAAACCAAACATGACAATGAAAAACGGATTGCAGCATTGAATTGAACATGAAAAAGTAGTTCAAAATGATGGGTCACAACACCCCCTTCATATTTAAAATAATTTATCACATTTCAAAATGGCGGATCCAAGATGGCGGCTGAAAAAAATACACCCGTCATAACCGAGTGAAAATAGGTCAACAATGAATGGTGGTGTCCACTTATCTTTAATTAGCACTATTTTGAGATTATGGCCTTAGTTTGTAAATGCACAATGTTATAATGGACTAAAAATAAAGTTATAAAAAGTTCTCATAACTTTAGAATGGATCAACATTTTTTTAAACCGATTGCAGCATCGTATTCAGCGTAAAGGTTTTGTTTGAAACGGTGGGTCAAAAGCATATCTTTATATTTGAAAAAAATATTTTTGTATCCAAAATGGCGGATCCAAGATGGCGGCCAAAAATGTAAACCCAGTCAAAATGAAGTACTTGCTATGATACAAAATGATCTGACATGGTTCAAAGTTGATATCTTAAGAAATGTATAAAAAAGTAGGGGGGGAACTCTTTTAAAACTCACCCTGTATAAAACAATTCACAATTATTTTCCTCATTTTTTTTAAGTTTTGAATAGCCGCCATTTTGAAATGACTTGATGAAACTTGACCATTTTCAACCCAGGCCGAGATTATATATTTAAGCACTTGTGTGCCAAATTTCATGAAAATCGGTTCAGGCATTCGGTCGTTATAGCCAATTCATGGAGACCCAGCATCCTCTTACGGCCGCCATTTTGATGACGTCATTACGGACGACCGAGGTCATTAAAAATTGGGGTCTGGGCGGTTTTAGGTTCAGAAACTTATATACTATGACCACCTAAAATTGCAGCCTGTCTGCCAGAACTGAAATATTCTGCCACTATATGCAGCTATACGATCCCACTATTATAGTTTATGATTTTGTGTTTAAATAATTCATTATACAATCATTGACTAGTCCAAGATACGATGCATTTGCAATTCATGCCAAGTTTGATAACAAACTAAATAAAACTTTTTCCTGTTTTTGGGCTTTAAATATTACACAATTAACAAGCGAAATCGTTATTCACAAATAGATGACTGTTAAAACAGTTACATTAACATTACTTGTTTGGATTTTAGAATAGCTTGGGGGATATTATTGAGATTAACTATCGATACTGTTAGTATAAACATGTCGGAAGTACGATCAGCTTATAATCAGCTATAATAATTGGATATGTGGCACAGATAATATAGGTTTGTTGTTATGTGTACCGAGATACAATGATGACAAGATCAATTACTGCCATAAATGCATACATTATTGTTTTTGAGACTACGATCGTTATTATTCGCTGGCAGAACAGCTTGCCAAAAATTCGGATGAATGTTATCACTCTTCCTTAGACATTCTTTATCTAAACATTACTTTTTATTGTAACTTAAATCTACTTGAGCCAATGATCATGACTTAAATAGTTAGAGGTTTATTTTGATATTTTTTTTATACCAATACAAGTTATCGTATTGGCAAAATAATTTAATTGTTCGACTTAACTTAATAAATAATAATCTATAGATTTATTCAATTGGTTATGTATCTTATTAAATTACTTTTTGTTTTGGAACGGAGATATCAATATTTGACGGTTAAGCGCGTGGAAATGTTTGTATGTTGTCTGGGTTCATGGTTTGGGAGCTTTTAGATACAAACACGGATACCACCTTTTCTTATGTAATGTAGGGGTGCCCACCCCCCTCCCCCCCCCCCCCGAGAACATAACGGACCCCACCCCCAAATTTAGCACCAGCCCCCCATAAATTAGGCACCCTCTAAATATGAAAGTATAATCCCCCTCGTATTATTTCTAAAACAAAAAAAAAAGATTTGTAAAGGTATTTTAAAGAAAATCAAACATCAAAAAGAAAATAATTATATATACAATGTATGTATATTTCTAAAGATTCTTTACAAGGATAACATTATTGTTTATGGTAAAAAGAATTATCAAAGAAATGATTTTATGAACTTCTGCTGAATAAACCTATTTGCTGAATTAAGAATATGAACGCTACAGTAATCGGTTTTTAAACAATCTAATATTATTACTAATGGTCCAATAAAAATTAAATACATTCGATCCTCAACGAACCTTAATATAACAAATTCCTTGATATGACGAATCTTTTTAAATTCTTTAAACCCTCCATTAGAGACTGTGTATATTTCACCTCTACATTACAAACAAACCATATCAACAACCCTGAGATAAAGATTTGTCATGAACACGTTTAAGTCACCTCGATATAAGGAATATATTATTGCCAAAACATCTACTGTAAATAGCGTGCGTAACCTCTGCTTTAACGAATTGTCAGCGTCTTTCCCTCGATATAACGACCCCCTCCCCTATTATCATTTTGGAAACATCACAGTTCCTTTGGTGAAAATGTAATGAAAGGCCGGCCGCACAGCTGATACAGCATAGCACGGTGAGGCGAGACGTCTTTGCCTCGCCTTGCCATGCCCGATGGAGATTTGATATGCATACGGCACGGCACGGCAAGGCGACTTGAGCACCCACATGGTCGATCCCATGGTTTCAGTAAAGTGAGATACTGTGTGTTATGAGGTTGTTTGTACATTTTGTGACACTTTGTACTACACATTTTGTGAGAATGGATGAAGAAGACGCTGCTGCTATCGCTGCTATATGGTACCATTGACTGGTGTGTTTATATAGTCAATGATGGTACCTAATGAATGTAATGGATGATCTCCCTAACAGAGAATCGTGGGTGCATCCCATCAACCAAAAAAGGAACTTGAAACCATTCATTGCAGAATTAGGAGCAGATCCGGAAAAAATCATAATTACTAATCGTTGGAAGTGAACACTGATTTTGACAGGGGCTGTCACTGCGCTGAACGTGGTGTCGATCATCGCGCATGCGCACATCGTTTTGCCTCAAGCCTTTTGCCCGAAAGACGAAAATTGAAAAGGCAGAACAAAGCACCGTACGGTGCTGTTTTGCCTTGCCTTGCCGTGCCTGATGATGTGTGCGGCACCCCCATTTGAAATAATAGAAATCTAGTCGCATAAGGTGCCTTAAGGCAAAATGTCGCTCCGTGCCGTGCCGTGCCGCATCAGGTGTGCGCCCGGCCAAAAAATGACGTCAACGCTTGCTCTAAACTACTGTCGCCTGTGCGCTATGTCAAAACTGATTTCATTAGCTGGGGAATTATTAAGTCATATAATGCTCAGTAAATTGTGATTGAATGATTAGTAACCATAGGAGCATTAGTAGGCTGTTATTGGGCAGTGAGTAACTATGGCTACATTTTGAATTTGTGCATGAAGAGAAACC